TCTCACACTGCGGTAGGAGTAGCCCAAAGTGTGCAGCCTTATGCCATAGTGTACAAAGGGGTTGAAAGCACTGGTTCTGAAGCCACACTGCCTAGGATCTAGCTGTGTGTCCTTGGACAATTTACTCAAGCTCTTGGTGCCTCAGTTTTCTCATCTATGAGGTGGAAATAATACGAGTACCTAACTCATAGGACCTTTAAGATTGTTATGTCAAGTGCTTAGAACAGTGCCTGGCATATAGCAAGCTGTAAACGAGTGTTAGCTGTAAAGGTAACATGACAGTGGGGAACTAACACAGGTATGATACAGAATAAAGATCATGTTAAAAAAAAAAGAGAGAAACAATGAGATTTCCAAGCAATTTTGCACTTGCCTTGGGCTGTTGAACTCAGGAAACAGATGAATAAGTGGCAAGTGAGAGGCAGTGGCTTTACCCGAAGAACCAAAGGTCAGCTATAATTCAGCTCAGACATCCCTGTGATTGGGGGCCGGTGGTTTTTATTACTAATTAGCCAGTGATTCTAACATCGGGTAGCTCACTACCTACAAGAGAGATGACTCCCTTGATGGATGGACTCATTGTTAGAAAATTCTTTCTTTTGTCGATCTGAAATTTACCTCTTCTGTCACTTTGTACTGGTCCTGGTTCTTTCCTTTGGAGTAATATAGAGTACATACAGGTAAGGAGGTCAGTTGGTTGTGTTGCTCCGTTAACATTTTCTTCTTCAGCTTAAATGTCTCTAGGGTCCCTGAGCCTCCTCCATATGACATGGGTTTTGAACCCTTTATTACTCTTCTCTCGGTATAATTTATTTGTCAGCATTTTTCTTAAAATGTAAGACCCAGAGCCAGTAACTGAGCGTGTTTCTCTTAGATGGCACACAGTGAAATATAAAAACTATTATTTGCATTTTAGGCCAATCTGTGTCATTAATTGACTCTATAATATTGAGTTGGTCATTAATTTTCTCATCTTCCTCAAATAGTATACCAATGAAAGATCATAAACAAACTTTTTGATATGGGTAATTTAGACACTCGTAAAAAGAAGCTAAAATACTTCGCTTTAATGAGAAAAAGTATATCAGTCTTCATGCTAATAATCAAATTTTTGCTAATTAATTAATGTGAAAATTTAAGCAAAGATTTCTAAGATCATTTCAGTGATGTTGCAGCTATTATTATTATTATAAACTGTACAGGTAATAATATCTTGGGTGAGGTTAGCTTTATTGCCTAAAAACTAAACTTCTTTTAGGTGTTGTAGTTAATCTAGTTGGTTAACTGAAACCAGAGCTACTAACTTATATTTGATATCCCTATTTTAATTTATCTGAGTATTTGTTATGAAGGATAATTGTCACCCATTTTGTGATTTCCCAATATAACCAAATAAATTATTTATTTTTAGTTTCCTTAATTTGTTGTTTAGTAACCTCACCATTTTGGTTTGAAAAAGTTCTAGAATCTTCTTTGTAGTACTTAATTTGTATTCAGGTCTCATTTCTACCATTGAGAAACTTTGGGTGCTAGGGCACGTCCTTTGACTAGCTTCTTTTTTTTAACATCTTTATTAGTGTATAATTGCTTTACATTGTTGTGTTAGTTTCTGCTGTATAACAAAGTGAATCAGCTATACATATACATTTATCCCCATATCTCCTCCCTCTTGGGTCTCCCTCCCACCCTCCCTATCCCACCCCTCTAGGTGGTCACAAAGCACGGAGCTGATCTCCCTGTGCTATGTGGCTGCTTCCCACTAGCTATCTATTTTACGTTTGGTAGTGTGTATATGTCCATGCCGTTCTCTCACTTCGTCCCAGCTTACCCTTCCCCCTCCGCATGTCCTCAAGTCCACCCTAAGTCTGTGTCTTTATTCCTATCCTACCCCTAGGTTCTTCAGAACCTTTTTTTCTTTTTTGACTAGCTTTATACACTGTCCTCTTCTGTGAATTGAGAGCCTTGACCTTGACTACTGCAATAGGTCTTTGTTTTTCTGCTTCTCCTTCTCCCTCCAGCCCATCCTTTTTCCATATCGCAGCTAGCAGGGTCATTTTAAAATGTAAATCAGATCCTGTCATTCCCCTGCTTAGCACATTTCAAAAATTTCCCCGTGTACTTAGAATAAAATCTAAATTCCTTCCCATGGCCTATACGGGCCCAGTGAGCTGGCCTCTGATCATCTCTCCAACTTATTCTTTTTGCTCAATACCTTTTAGCTGTAGTAAATAGCTATAGCTATAGACCATTCAGTTTTTTCATAGCACTTAACAGTTTATAATTATGTATGTTTTGGGTTTGTTTACTTGTTAATTGTTTCCACCACAAGACTGGATGCTCAGTGAGGGCAGGTAATGTATTTTCATTCACTGATCTGAAACTGAATGTGTTGGACATAGATGGTCACATATTTATTGTTCTTAAAATCCTATGATTCCTATTACTTCCAGATAAGTGTGCAGCTTTTCCTTTCCCTTGGTAGTGTTTATCAAATCCTCCCCCACCACTTGGACATTCATATTAAAATGACTGTCTGCCTATATATATATATATATATATATATATATATTTACTTTTTTTTTTTTTTTTTTTCCTGCGGTATGCTGGCCTCTCACTGTTGTGGCCTCTCCCGTTACAGAGCACAGGCTCCGGATGCGCAGGCTCAGCAGCCATGGCTCACAGGCCCAGCCGCTCCACGGCATGTGGGATCTTCCTGGACCAGGTCACGAACCCGTGTCCCCTGCATCGGCAGGCGGACTCTCAACCACTGCGCCACCAGGGAAGCCCTGCCTATATTTGTTAATACTAATTTTTTGGTAAGTCTAAAATTACAGTGTCAGGACTTCCCTGGTGACGCAGTGGTTAAGAATCCGTCTGCCAATGCAGGGGACACGGGTTTGATCACTGGTCTAGGAAGATCCCACGTGCCAAGGAGCGACTAAGCCGTGAGCCACAACTACTGAGCCCACATGCCACAACTGCTGAAGCCCACGTGCCTAGAGCCCATGCTCCGCAACAAGAGAAGCCACTGCAATGAGAAGCCCATGCACTGCAATGAAGAGTAGCCCCTGATCGCCGCAACTAAAGAAAGCCCATGCGCAGCAGTGAAGACCCAACGCAGCCAAAAATAAATAAATAAATAAAATAGTTACAGTGTCATATCAAAGCTTGTTAAGTCCCAGATATATCAGTGTCTGTTGCATTCTTTGGTTGATTTATTTCTAGAACAGTTTTAAAATGATTACACAGTGTTCCCAGTGATTTGTTTGAATGTGACTAGCCTTGGCCTATCATTATTATAAAATGTGATTCTAGGCTGTGCTTATTTTAAATTTGTTGATGTTATTTTTGTTGCGTAGGCATGCCAGCAGTTTATTCCTTTTAAGTGTCAGTATTGAGATCTGTCATCTGAAATACAAGAATCTTTCTGAAAACTTAGCTTAATTCTGTTGCCATGCTACCCAGGGACAGTAAATTACTCATTTTGGGGTCAAGTCACCAGAGTACTGTTTGGTCATTTACCTAGTGGCTAAAAGAGCTAGAGTGTTTGCCCAAAGGGAGCCATTTAGGCCTCTCTCAGCACTTAGGATCTAGTTTATGGTTTATCTCAGATGGAGTGTGGTAGGAGAGGCTCATCCTGTTCTCTCTCTTCAGATTGAAGCTTAGGAAACTGACTCATTTTTGGACCATATTTCCTTTCATTTTTACATTAACAGTAACTGTGGAGCTGAAGCTCTGGGGAGGTGCTTGGCTCTGTCTGCTGAAGTAGTTCCAGTGGTTGAACTCTCCCTGGCAGCTGAGCATGTTTCATTTAAAGCTCTTCAGAGCCGAGTAAATCTTGGCAGAACTCCATAGAAACCATAGCATATAACTCTTTTTTAAAGCTACTATATTATTAAATAAAGGATTTGGGGTAAAGTGATTGCTTTAATGGTCCTAATGATACTATTTTAAAAGGTCCTTTCATCATTGTCATTACAGTGACTTTATGATGTGGTCCAAGGACCTTACTAGGAAGAAACCCTCAGCCCTGAGTGGGTACTTACAGTGACAGGGAAAAGGCTTTGTAAGATGCAGTTCAGGGTGCCACCTCTTTCCTCACCTGCAGCCTCTTTCCTGGATGCTTAGGAGGATAGTTCTGCCACACATAACCTAGTCTTTTGTTGTTTTTAATGAAGTATAGTTGATTTACAATGTTGTGTTAGTTTCAGGTGTACAGCACAGTGATTCAGTTATACACATTATATATATATATATATTTTTTTCAGATTCTTTTTCCTTATAGTTTATTACAAAATATTGAGTATAGTACTGTGTAGTGCTATACAGCAGGTCCTTGCTGGTTACCTATTTTATATATAGTAGTGTGTGTATGCTAATCCCATCCTCCTAATTTATCCCTCTCCACCATAACCTGCTTTTAAGCTTTAAGCTGACTCAGCCAGGCATGAGGTGGCCTGATGCTGTGAAAAAGCATGGATCTGGGGAGTCAGGGAGATCTGAGTTAAAATCTGTACTCTGACATTTAATAATTGTGAACTTAAGTTACTTAACTTTCTGAGACCCACTTCCTTATCTGTAAAAATAGGGTTATAATACCTACCTTGTAGGGTAGTTGTATTAAATGAGATAATATATGTGAGATTTCTTGCCATGCAGTAGGTTTTCAATTGATTTCGTTTCTTCCTCTGTGTTAATACTCAAGTATTTTTTAGTGGCGGTAGAAATCCCATGCATCCACAAATTTAGAGGTATCTAGCTCATTTCAGTCTTAGATGCAACTGTCCCCTCAAGAATGTAAATTTGAAGTGTCTAATAAAGTTGGCCAGTTCATCTATTTCTGATGAATTAAATAGGGGAGGATGGCATTTGGGTAATTAGCAAACAGTATTTAAAAAAATAGCCATTTAATATGGTTACATTGCAATATTTTGAAAGCTTAATGATGTTAATTAAAATTATCTTGTTATTGATCAGCATTTTTTTGTACCTGTCCCCAGGGGAGGAAAAATATGCAAGACGGTGCAAGTGATGGTGAGATTCCAAGATTTGATGGTGCTGCATATGATAAGGATCTGGTGGAAGCCCTTGAGAGAGACATTGTCTCTAGGAATCCTAGCATTCATTGGTTAGTCTGTTAAGTTCTTGAATTACAGTAGTGGAGAAAACAAATTGTAGGTTGGCTTGGTGTGAGTCTTGTCTTGTTATCCATTCATCTCCTGATTATGACCTCATCCGTAATATGAGTGTGCAGAATTGGTAGGACAGTTCTTCTTCCAGAATATAACCAAGACATTTTCATACTAATTTGATGTTGACATAGCTGACAAAGGTTGTTAATTGAATAACATGTCCTAATTTATGATTGCAGTATGTTTTCACTGATCATTTTATACAGTAAAAATTAGAATAATGTTCTTAATGTAAGAAAAATTTCATAATTTAAAAAAATTAAAAGAATTGGTATTGATCATAAATCAAAGATGTCCCTGAATAAGCATGAAACTTTGCTCTTCTTACAAAGGGATGACATAGCAGATCTGGAAGAAGCTAAGAAGTTGCTAAGGGAGGCTGTTGTTCTTCCCATGTGGATGCCTGACTTTTTCAAAGGGATTAGAAGGCCATGGAAGGTGAGAATTTATTGAAGTAATATAGGTATAAAACTGCTGCTTGCATGGTAAAGAACGGCAGCACTGTAGTTTCTTTGTGTGTTTATTAACACAGTTTGTAAAGGTTGGGGGAGGTTGGGCAGCCCTCAGGCACCTGGATTTGGATTTGTGGTTGCGATATGCTGCCTCTGCCTGGCAGGAGAGGGGCCTGGAGTGGTGGAACTATAGTCTTTAAAGTCACTTCCCTCAGGGGCGCTGAGCTAGAGATGAGTTTTAAGAATTTTCTAGATGTCTGTTTTTGTAAATAAAAAGTTAGCAAGGGGCTTCCCTGGTGGCGCAGTGGTTGAGAGTCCGCCTGCTGATGCAGGGGACGTGGGTTCGTGCCCCGGTCCGGGAAGATCCTACATGCCGTGGAGCGGCTAGGCCGGTGAGCCATGGCCACCGAGCCTGTGCATCCGGAGCCTGTGCTCCGCAACGGGAGAGCCACAACAGTGAGAGGCCCGCGTATCAAAAAAAAAAAAAAAAAAAAAGTTAGCAAGCAAATTAAATAGTAATAGTGCATAGTCATAGAGTAAGTGTTTGATCAAATAAATTATCTTTTTAAAAGCCGGCGTATTTCTCAGTAATTAATTAGTTTGAACGCTTCATCTAGGCTTGGTGTAATTCTCAGATGTAATCAGAATGTTTATATCTTTTTAGCTTGCCCAGGACTAGTTCCTCCTAAGTTCAGTGTTTTCATTTTAGCATATTAAAAACCCTTCCAACAGCTGCTGCCTGGAACTTTTTTTGGTCTTAGCCATAGGCAGACTCTTTCTTTACTCTGACTGGTAGAGTGAAATAAAAGCATGATCTTACTTTGCCCTTCCGAATTAGCTGGGAAGGTCTTTTACCTTCGCAATACCTCTTCCTTGTTTGATGTGCCTAAAAGTAGAGAGGAGGAGAAATTGTGTGTTTACATAAATGGCTTGGAACACCCATGGCATTTTGATTGCCTCTCACAACTTAAAAACTTTTATAGACTGTTTGTTATAGATTTACCTAATTTGGGGACCATATTACCATAAATTTCTCCTTTATTATAACTTTAAAAACAATGTTTAAAAGAAATAATAAGGCCTTGACAAAATAGGTATTTAAAGGAGTTTTAAAACAGCTGGAATGGTAGGTGTAACCTATATATCATGACGAGCCCTGTACACTTTTAGCAAGAGGGTAATTTGCAAATGTATGAAGATCACCTTGGCAGCAGTATGCAGGCTGGATTGGAGACGGGCATAGATGGATACAGAGAGGAGTCTGGTCAGGAGGCTGTTGCGATAGTCTAGCCAAACGATGAGGACCTGAACAAAGGCGTTCGTTATTTGGCCAATGAAGAATGAGTGGATCTGTGAGAGATATTTAAAAGGTGTAAGTGATAACATTATGACATGATGGTTTATAGGGGTAGGGAGAGGAACAAGTTGTATGACTCTTAGATTCCAGGCTTGAATTACAGGAGTATGCCGTTGCTCGGATACCAACTACCCAAAATTGGGCCAAACTTCACAGGTTGAGGTCAGTTTTCCACAAGACTGCCCTCACTTCAGATGCCAACCACAAATTTGGGGGTCCCCAGGTCACCCTCACTCTGACAGCTGGCTGTAAATTGGGGGGTTCTCACTGCACCCTCAGGTTTGATAGTTCTCTAGAATGACTCACAGAACTTAGGAAAGCATTGTACTTCCGATTGTAGTTTTTGTTATAGCAAAAGGAGGCAGATCAGAACTAGCCAAAGAAGAAGTGCATAGGGTGAGATCTGGGGGGATGCTGACAGTGTAGCTTCTGTTGTCCTTTCCCTTGCAAGCAGGATGCTTTACCCTCCTGGCGCATGGATGTGTGACAGTATACACACTACTGCCAACAGGGAAGCTCACTCAGGCATCAGTGTCCAGAGTTTTTACTGGGGTTTCATTGCATAATCATAATTGATTGAATTGTTGCCCATATGTCTCAATCTCCAGTCTCCCTTCTCTCCCCAGAGGTCTGGTTGACATCGCATGGCTCAAAGCCCCAGCCTGCTAATCACAGGGTTGGTATTTTGGGCAAGGCCAGCCCCCATCCTGAGTCATCTCATTAGCATAATCTATATAGGGACCCACCATGAGCCACCTTATTAGCCTAAAATTTCAGGGTCCAACATGAACAGCAAAGACACTCCTATCACTTGGGAAGTTCCAAGGGTTTAGAGTCTGCCTCCCAGGAACTAGGGAAAAGGGCCAGCCAAATTCTTCATTAAATAGGGTACAGTGAACTGATACTGGAAATGGAGGAGAGGAGCAGATTTAAATAGAAACAAAATATATTTAGGTGAAAACTCAGTGGGTAATTGGAAATAGAGGTCTGGAGCTCAGGCTAGAGTTTAAGTTTAAATTAAAATTGTGAGATATAAGTGGTGGTTGATAATTTGGGTATGGATGAAATTGTTCAAGGAGTTTTATAAAGGGTTTTCAAAAGAGCAAAAGATTTAGAATTGCTTTGGGAATATAAAGGGCAGGGGGAAGAGGAGACCTGAAAGCCACTGAAGATGGTCATGAGTAGGAGAAGCATCAAGAAAGAACCGTGTCCTAGAACCAACCTAGGGAGCAGGGGTTTCAGGGAGAAGGGAATGAACACCAGGTATCGGCACCATCCAAGGTCAGAGAGAGGGAAGGAAGCTGTGAGTTGAAAAGTGACCATTGGTTGGGACTTCCCTGGAGATCCAGTGCTTAAGACTCCGTGCTTCCAAGCAGTGGGTGCGGGTTTGATTCCTGGTCAGGGAACTAGGATCCCGCGTACTGCGCAGTGGTGCAGCCGAAAAAAAGAATACGTAAAACTCAAAACAGAAAAGGAAAGAAAAGTGACCATTGGATTAGTAACTTAGGTATTTTTAGTGAAGGAGTAGAGGCAGAAGTCAGACTGTAGCTTGTGAAGAACAAATAGTAAACATAAACCATTTCTTTAAGAAGGTTGGCTGGGAAGAGGAAGGAAGAGGTAGATAGTAGCCAGAGGATTTGTAGGGTCAAGTGAAGGATTTTATTTTTTAACTAAATAGAGCCCACAGAGGAGGAGATACAGGAAATAGAGGAGATAATTGACAGGGTAATGTCATGAGGAGGGGAAATTTATAAACGCTGTACTGCATCTATGAGCTGTGTCTGCGCACAGACGCTAACCCTGGAAATTATCTCCTGCTGGACATGACCACATTAATGACATTACAGGAACTGAGAGGGCATTGAGAGGGGATGGTGGAAAGAGAAACAGAAACTGTTCTGTAGCTGTGCCAATACCATTAGTTGTCTTTACAGTTTTCAAAATATCAATCTCTTGTATAAAGGCTTCTGGCAAAGCAAAAATTTTTCTTGTAAAACTAGTGTTTCAAATCCTAGTGATCCCTGGTTGTCCTGGGTATCAAAATGCTATAGCTAGAAGAGCGTTTGGACGGTTTCTGAATTTAGAGTTTATGAAACTTTGATATGCACATAGTTTTCAAAGTTTAAACCCCCCAAAGCTAATTGAATTAAATTAACAAATGGCTCCAAATTCCTCTTAAGATCACGAACTATTATGCAAAAGAAATGTAGTGTTAACTATATATCTGAACTCTCATTAAAAGTGTTAGAAGAAAATAATAAGTATTTAAAAATCCATTAGTCTGCAAGACTAGAGGATCGGTGTTCTTGGATAATTTTTACTCCTCATTGATTTATTTTTATGGAACGTTTTTCTGTTTGTTTCAAAGGTGAGAAGTAAGTAAAATTTATATTTTAGTCTATGTAGTGGCTTTTTCCTTACTAACACTATTTTATGTAAACTCTTAACTGCCTAGCACAGTTAAACTGATAAAAGGCTAGCTAACTTGATTATGTTTGAATCACCACTAGATTTTAGCTACCTTATTTATTAACTGATGAATGGATCTTTATTTCTGATTCAAAGTGTATATTGTAAGTGTGTTGTTGAAGATAGGTTTTGTACCTTAGGAGGGCGAGGGATATATAATTCTGCTCCATGTGGTAGAGAATGTCATCTTATTTTCATTGCTTAAACAGAGCAGTCACTCTTAAGCGGTGCTCAAGACCATACATATTTGTCTTCTGCCAGGTTCAGTAAAATCGGTGGGCTCTTTCTAAATGTACCAGGAGATTCCTTGTTGTCTAGGCCCTTTGTTAGCCCATCTCTGAGTACCTCTGATTTGAGACCTTTTGTGAAACCATTCTTCATTTTTGCTTTTTCTGTCTGTGAAATGATATTCGTGCCCAATGCGCCATGAGTTTACTGTGGCAGTTGAGCTTATCTTTTGATGGGAAGGGTTTCGTGTACATTAATAGTTGCTGATATTCTATTAGAAAGCACATTAATCTGATAAGTCATTTCGTGTGTCCTTTGGAATTTCAGGGCGTGCTGATGGCCGGGCCCCCAGGCACTGGTAAGACCATGCTGGCTAAAGCTGTCGCCACTGAGTGTGGCACAACATTCTTCAACGTCTCGTCTTCCACGCTGACGTCGAAATACAGAGGGGAATCTGAGAAGTTAGTTCGTCTGTTGTTTGAAATGGTGAGTGATGTTATATTCGGATTTCAAAGCACTGTTTGTGTAGGCACATGGTATCCCTTTAATCTAGATCCGTTTACCCAGGGATCCATTTAAGAAAGGGCAACTGTACTTATAGTTTCACAGTTCTTGACACGCTAATAAGACACGGGGCGGTGGGTTTTGTGGAGTGGTTGATGTGTCTTCAGCGTACCTTCCTCTCTGAAGTAAAAGCCCTTTGGCATCCCGTCCGGTGCGGGTAGAAGAGACTTTGGAAATGTGTGTGGTTTGACTGATATTTCTGGATCTCTAATGAGCTGGTGAGCAGAAGTATTTTTTAACATATATTTTGAAAATCAGAAATTGATCTACCATTAAAGTTTGTTCCTTTTTCAAAGTAGTTTGCAGTAGCTACTTAAGACTGCATATTTGAGGATAGATTGGTGATTTATCTTTAGAAACTTTTTGTATTATGGAGATTTTCAAACACAAAAGTAGAAAGAATAGTACCGTGAATCCTCGTGTATCTGTCACCTGACTTCACCAACCATATAACTTATCTTTTATGTTTAGAAATTTTTCTGTTTCTGATATGATTGATTAATTTAACCTCTGTCTATAAGCAAGTGATGGCATTAAAGCAGTGAGAAATTTCTGCTCTTTTTCACCATTGTTTTAGTCGGAGGAAATGTCTTTTAAAAACTTCAGATTATTTCAGGAGGTCACTAAATGATTTCTTTAAACTATTTTCACAAAGGCTAGGTTTTATGCCCCCACCACCATCTTCATTGATGAGATAGATTCTATCTGCAGTCGAAGAGGAACCTCTGATGAGCATGAGGCAAGTCGCAGGGTCAAGTCTGAGCTACTCATTCAGATGGATGGTAATTGATATTTAATTACTGTCTCTAAACTGTTTTGGTCCCTTTTTGAATTTTGTGTAGATTCATACTTGGAAATTCTCAACGACCGGACTAGAAGGCAGCTGAATGTATTTGTAATCATTTGTTCATCCACGCGTTTGTACATTCGTTCATGCACTCAAAAAGCATCTATTGCTTACTTGCACCATCTCAGGTTCTGAGGTTAAAAAGAAAAGGACTGTCGTGGCCTTCAAGGAGCTTACTATTTAGAGCAAAGCCTTTAGAGATGTGGCTCAGGGTCCCAGGGGTCTTTAAGACTCTTTTAAAAGGTGTGCAAAGGCCAAACTATTTTCATAGTAATATCGAGATGTTATTTACCTTTTTCACTTTTCATTCTCTCACAAGTCTCATTTTTAATTTTTAATAATAAATGTTGATATACTACATGCACACAAAAGCTCTTTGGAGGTCAGTAGTCTTTAAGGATATAAAAAGGATTCTGGGACCAAAATTTTTGAGAACCACTGATCTAGTTGAGAAGCAGGCACCTCACAGACAATTACAATACATTATGAGTTCTGTGGTAGAACTAAGCTCTGGGTTTAGTGAAAACATAGTACGAGAGGTACCACCCGGACTAAGGGAGTCATAGAAGGGAATAGCTGACTTGGGCTTTGAAATATTGGTAGAAGTTATTCAGACAAAGAAGAAAAGGCTTTGGGGAGCCACTGGAGGAAGAGAGTGATGGGCCCAGAGCTACTTTTTAGAGATATATCACTCTGGTAGTTGTATGGTGAATAGGAGGCTATTTAAGCAAATTATGAGAAAACATAAAGTGTGTTTTAAAAAAAAAAGTATATATATATATATATATATATATGTATATATGTATGTATGTATGTATGTATATCCACACTGCATTGTTTTAAAATAGCTGTGGTTATCCACCAACCATAGATACTAATTGAATACTTAAAACGTGTGTTGCATACAGTGCCAGGCACTATAAGATACATAATGTAGTACCAGGAGTTCCTTCCCTCAATGAGTTAACCATCTTAATTTCTGTTAAAGTGTAATATGAGAGACAGGAGTGACTGTGTTGTATTTGTTCTGTAGTTATCTGTTGATTTGTCTGGTTCTGACACCATGCAGAGGTCAGAAGAACTGCATCATGTTCGTCATTGAGCCTCTACCACCAAGCCTGTGGCCGATGCTTAGAAATGTTAGTTGAATGAAAGAATAAAGGACTGTAAGAAAAACACTCTTCTTTCCCACTTACTGTATATAGGAGTTGGAGGAACTTTAGAGAATGACGATCCTTCCAAAATGGTTATGGTATTGGCTGCTACTAATTTCCCATGGGACATTGATGAAGCATTGCGAAGGAGATTAGAAAAAAGGATATATATACCTCTCCCAACAGGTATGATGCCTTCCTTTTACTATATTTTGATCTTTCTTTTACTCTCTGTTACATTTTTCTATTTCTGTAGGTCTTTATTCCCTTGGCATTCTGCTTAAAGAAGTTTATAGCATCACAAAACCCATTTGTTATTTATGGAAACAGAGGCCTCAGTACTCTGCTGAAGTTTCTTACATTCAGAGGAGTGGTTGTGTTAATAAGTTGATAGGACATCTAAGTTTTACTTTTATTTATTTATTTTTAATTAATTGATTTTTTTGGCTGTGTTGGGTCTTCGTTGCTGCGCGCAGGCTTTCTCTAGTTGTGGCAAGCGGGGGCTACTCTTTGTTGTGGTGTGCGGTCTTCTCATTGTGGTGGCTTCTCTCGTTGCAGAGCACAGGCTCTAGGTGCATGGGCTTCAGTAGTTGCAGCACACGGGCTCAGTAGTTGTGGCAAGTGGGCCCTAGAGCACACAGGCTTTAGTAGTTGTGGCGTGTGGGCTCAGTAGTTGTGGCATGTGGTGCCAAGACCACAGTAGTTGTGGCTCATGGGCTCTAGAGCGCAGGCTCAGTAGTGTGGTGCACGGGCTTAGCTGCTCCACGGCATGTGGGATCTTCCCCGACCAGGGATCGAACCCCATGTCCCTTGCATTGGCAGGCAGATTCTTAACCACTGTGCCACCAAGGGAAGTCCCTAAGTTTTAATTTTAAACTTGAGTCTTCATTAAAACTTACGTGGGGCTTCCCTGGTGGCGCGGTGGTTGAGAGTCCGCCTGCCGATGCAGGGGATGCGGGTTCGTGCCCTGGTCCGGGAGGATCCCACATGCCGCAGAGCAGCTGGGCCCGTGGGCCATGGCCACTGGACCTGCGTGTCCAGAGCCTGTGCTCTGCAGCGGGAGAGGCCACAGCGGTGAGAGGTTCGCGTACCGCAAAAAAAAAAAAAAAAAAAAAAATCTTACGTGATACAAGTTTTTGTCCCTGTACTACAAAAAACAATGTACGTTGATAAGAATGTGAAAATTTAAAAACATTTTTATAATGAAAAAAAACTTCAGTGATTAAAAATAAAGTTCTCTTGGGATCTTTTTTGAAGTATGCTGCTTTGAAAAAGTATTTCATTCTGTTGATGAATGTTGACATTTTCATAAGTGAGTTTTTTCTTTTTATATTGAGATAAAATTTACATACAGTGTGAAATGTACAAATCTTAAGTTTACAGTTTGATGAGTTTTGACAAATGAATACTTTTGTTTAATCAGTACCCTACTCACGATGTGGACATTTCTTTCACCTCAGAAAGTTTCTCTGTGCCCCTACCAGTTGACTCAAACCCCTAACAGTCATTCACCTTCCTGATTTTTAACACCATAGATTAGTGTTACCTATTACTAAACTTCATATAAATGGAATCATGACATATGTATTCTTGTGCATCTGGCTACTTCCACACAACATAATGTTTCTGAAATTCATCCATGTGGTTACATGTATCAGTAGTTTATTTGTGGTGTGATTACATGACAATGTTTATTCTCTTTTTGATGGACATTTGAGTTATTACTAGTTTTTGGCTATTATGAATGAAGCTATAAATATTTTTGTATAGATCTTTTTATAGATGAATATTTTCAATTCTTTTGGGTAATATAGATCAGAAGAGAATAGGTGGATCATAGGGTAGGTGTGTGTTTAACTTTATAATGCTCAAACCATTTTCCTAAGTGGTTGTACCATTTTATACTCTCACCATCAATGAATGAGAATTCCAATACTTCCATATTTTTGCCAACATTTGGTATCGCCAGTATTTTAATTTTAGTCATTCTAGTAAGTGTGAAATGCCTTATTTTCTTTCAGTTTATGGTTTGCCTTTCAATTTTCTTTATGGTGTCTTTTGATAAGCAGAAGTGTTAATTTTGATTAAGTCCTCTTGTCAGGATTTTCTTTTATGGATAGTGCTTTTTGTATCTTAAGAAATCTTTGCTTACCACAAGAAGTCAAAGGTTTTCTCCTATATTTTCCTTTAGAAATTAGAGTTATATTTCTCCTATATTTTCCTTTAGAAATTAGAGTTAGATCTGTGATCCATATTGAATTAATTTTTTGTATGTGTGTCAATTGGGGGTTGAGTTTCATTTTTTTCATATGTGTATTGAGTTGTTCTAGCATCACTTGTTAAAAGGAGTTTTATTTTTCCATTGAGTTACTTTGGCACCTTTGTTGAAAATTATTTTGCTGCATATATGTGGGTCTATTTCTGAATTCTCTGTTCTGTTCCATTGATTAAAAAAAAATTAGATATAGGGTTATCCTGTCAGGTTATCTATTTTTCATTGAGTAGGCTTTGGTAGTTTGTGTTTTTCAAAAAATTTGTCCCTTTCCTCTAGGTTGTCAGGTTTATTGGGATTTGACCTAATACAAACATGGAAGCTGACTAAATGGTTTATGTGAGGCTGTTGATTTCATGTCTGGTTCTGGAGGCTGAAGTCAGTAGGGAGGGCAGTAGGAAGAGAAGATGAAATGGTGGAAACAAGAACAAACTGTAACCTGTGGGGATGAGCTGGAACTCATGAGGATAGACTGGAACCCACACTGGGCTCTCATTGCCTCTAAGAGTTACAACTTTGATGATTGGGGTGTCCTTTAGAAGAAGCTGGCACTCTTTGTAACAGTACTAAAGGTACACCTGGCTTAGGAGTCAAGCTGAAGGAGGAAATCTGACAGGAGCTGGAAAGAGTTGGAGGCCCAGGGCTGCCCCTCACTAAAAAGATGAGCCGGCAGACAAGCGACAATAGGCCTCAGCTGCAAATGCTCTTCATGCCCTGAACTAACTTTCTGAGTTGATTTCAGTTCTGCCTTTCACATCTTGTCCATAATGACTGATGTGGTCCCCACTAACCCAGAACTATGTAATGAAGAGAATTCTGAGAAGTGAAATTCTAACTTCACTGAAGTTGACACAGTACAAATCCACACACCTTAATTTCTGTTTCGTCTGTATGATCTATAATAATGGCTCAATTTTCATTCCTAGAAGAGGCGATTTGTGTTTTATCCCTGTTGTTCTTGATCATTCTTGCTAGACATTTATCAGTGTTATTAATCTTTTCAAAGAACCAACTTCTTGCTTTGTTAATGTTCTGTTTTGTATTTCATTGTTTTTTATCTCTTCTTATTTCTCCCTTATACTCCTGAGTTTAATTTTCTCTTTTTTTATGAAGTTAGAAACTTAGACTGTTGATTTTAAACCTTTGTTCTTTTTCTTTCAATATAAACATTTAAGGTTGTATTTCTCTTAAAGCACTGCTTTGGCTTCATCCCACAAATTTTGTTATATTTTCTTTACTATTCAATTAGAAATATTTAACATTTTTCCTTTTTCTTTTTCTCTTTGACTCTTGAGTTATTTAGAAGTATGTGGTTTAGGGAATTCCGTGGCGGTCCAGTGGTTAGGACTCTGTCCTCTCACTGCTGAGGGCCCGGGTTCAATCCCTGGTTGGGGAGATAAGATCCCACAAGCCGTGAGGCAAGGCTGAAGAAAAAAAAAAGAAGTATGTGGTTTAGTATCCAAATATTTGAGGATTTTCTAGATGTCTTGTTGTTGTTGATTTCTAATTTAATTCCACTATAATTAAGAACTACTCTGTAAGATGTCAATTTTTGAATTTTGTTGAGATTTTATGATTCAGCATATAGTGTATCTTGCTGAATGTTTCAGCTGCAGTTGAATAGAATATTTATTCTGCACTTGTTGAGACAATATTCCATAAATGTCAGTTAGATCAAGTTGTTGTGATAGTATTGTTTAAATCTTCTAGATCCTTAATGATTTTTTGCTCTGGTTTTTTCTATCAATTATTGAGAGTGGGTGGTTAACTTTTTAAGTATGATTGTGAATTTGTTTATTTTTCACTTTAATTCTGTAAATTTTTGCTTCATGCAGTTTGAAGTTCTGTCATTAGGTACATAAACAGTTATCATTATTATATCTTCTTGATTCTTCTACCTTTATGAAACATCTCTTCATCTCTGATTAAATCCTTTGACTTGATGTTTACTTTGATATTAATATAGCCTCACCATCTTTGTTTTGCTACTGTTTGCATGATATATCTGCTTCCTTCCTTTAATTTTCACCTTGTACGTGTTTGTATTTGCAGTGCAGTTCTTGTAGACAGCATATAATTGGGTCTTACTATTTGTATAATTTATCTTTGCTTTTTAATTGCAGTATTTTGTCCATTGAAATATAATGTAATTATTGACATGGTTATGTTTAAGTCTGCCATTTTGCTATTTGTCCCTTTTGTTTGTTCGTTACTCTGTACCTCCTTTCTTAATTTCTCTTAATAGTTGACTCTTTTTTAGTATCCATTTTAATTTCCTTATTGGCTTTTAGCTATACTTAACTGTATATTTTTTAGCAGTTACTCTAGGGATTTACAATATGCATCTGTAACTTATTACAGTCACTGTAGAGCTAATATTGTACCACTTCATGTAAAATGTAAGAACCATTTGCCTCCCCCAGCCTTTGTGCTATTTTGTCATGTATTTTACATCTGCATACATTGTAAATCCAAACATATAATGGGCTTAAATTGTCAGTTCAAACTTAAATTAAGAGGAGCACAAATAGTAGTCTTTTCTGTTTACCTACATATTTAGCATCCACTGCTCTGCTTTCCTTTTTAAGGTTCAAGTTTCCAGCTGGGTCCGTCTCTCATTTGTCTAAAGAACTTCATTTAGTAGTTAAGGTCTACTAGCATCAAATTCAGTTTTTGTTTTCTGAAATGTCTTTATTTCACTCTTATTTCTGAAGGCTGTTTTTGACTGATAAATAATTCTGGGTTGGAAGAGGGCTTTTTGTTTGTTTTGTTTTTTTTCTCTCAGTGCTTATAAAGATATCATTCTATAATCTTCTGGCCTCCATTGTTTTTTGCATGTGAGGTCAGCTGCCATTCCTATCATTGTATGTAATATATTGTTTTCCCTCTGGTTATTTTTTTAAATTCAGCTTTA